CTCAGCGGCCATGGCTCACGGGCCCAGCCGCTCCGTGGCATGTGGGATCTTCCCGGACCGGGGCACGAACCCGTGTCCCCTGCATCGGCAGGCGGACTCTCAACCACTGTGCCACCAGGGAAGCCCCTAATGACAATATCTTTATTGTTAATTTTCTGGCTGTAAAACGAATGCATTGTTTAAAAATATTAGAAGTTTAGTTACGAACTTTTCTCACAAAATAGTATTTCGTGAATGTATTTTCATGGTAATACATACATCATTACATACTGCGTTAAAAATAAAATGATGGTATTTTTTAGCTTCTTCCATTAAAGGCAAAGCTAACTCGTTTTTTCTTCCTTTCTTCCTTCCTTCCTCCCTCCCTCCCTCCCTTTCCTTCTTTTTTCTGTTGAAGTGTAGTTAACTTGCAATGTCGTTTTAGTTTCAAGTGTACAGCAAAGTGAGTCAGTTATACATACATATATATATATTCTTTTCAGATTCTCCCTCTTCATTCTTTTACTCAACAAATAAATATCAACTAAGCACCTCCTGTGTGCCACGTGCTACTCCAGGTGCCGGGGACACAGCAGAGCCTGAAGCAGGGAACAGGTGACGCTCTGGAAAATGAGCATAATAATTGTACTTACCTTATAGGGTTGTTCTAAGGGGAATGCCTGGTACATGATAGAAGCTTGATAAATGTCATCTATTATTTGAATGCTTATAAAATAATAATCATGGTAATTGTTTTATCTATAGACGTACATATAGAAATATAATTTATTTGGTGTATAAAATAATAAGAAGATAATAATGCTACCCATGATGATACTTAAATGTCCTTTAGTCTGAGGCTAGTTAATAAGCACAAAACGCCCAGCCCGTGGATTGATTTTGAAGTTATTGTGAAGAAAGGAGTCGGGGTGTCCGGATGGGGAAACAGATCTAAGACATTAAATTGAAAAGATTAAGAGACGGCACAGGGGGTGTTGAACTTTCCCCGACTGAGGTGCTTACACACAAAAAACTCAGATTTGAACCGGATAGAGCTGGAAAGGGCGGGGTCTCAGGGTGGAGGGAGAGGGTGTGTGTGTCTCTGTACCGGTGGCTAACACACGTCTAATGCTCACAATGGACTGGGCGCCGTGCTCAGCTCTTCACGCCTATTAACTTGAATTCTCGTAACACCCCCCAAGGTGAGTATATTATTCTCATTTTGCAAATGAGGAAGCTGAGGCACAGAGAGGTTCAGTGGCTTGCCCAAGGCCACACAGTTGATGAGGGTTTGAATTTTTAAAACATGCACACGTTTTACTTTAGTGATGAAAATAATATGAAAGCGGAGTGCCAAATTCCAAACACACACACACACACACACACACACACACACACACACACAATGACTTGGCCCCTTAGCATCTGCTTGGCAGGGAGGAGCGCCCCAACTTCCTCTCTGCCCTTCCTGTTGTATCAACTCCAGCTGGCACTCTGGGCAGTGCCAGTCAGCCCCAAAGAATCAGCAGAGAGCTGCAGGGTCAGGTTACTATGACATCGTGGGGACATCACATGGACCGGTCTACCATCTACCAAGTCCTTACTCTGTGCTACGTGCTTTATACATATTAACTCTTCAAGGCCTCCCCAAACTGGTGAGGTAGGCTCACCTCCGTAACTCACTTCTCAGATGAGGAAACCTAGAGAGAGAAAGCCAACCGAAACTGCTCACCCAGAGTCACAGAGCCCAGTTCCGCTTAGGGTCACTGGCTGTCCTGCCTTCCGACTCTCCCAAACCTCAGATTTTTGGATGGTGATGTTCTAGGGCCCAGAGTTCCAGAGTGGGACTAACACAGCTTGAAATTCAGGTCTGTTGCTTGCTTAGCTGAGTCATCCTCGGTAAGTTCCTCAATTTCTCTGTGCCTCAGTTTTCTCATCTGCAGAATGGGTATAACGATGGTAGGAAAATTAGAGGTTTGTAATAAGGACTAAACGATATAACATTTAAAGGGGCTTGGAGCAAGGCCTGGCACATAACACAAAGTCTCAATAGATGGTGGCTTATAGTAATAATAATAATAATAATAATAACAGTAGTAATAGTTATGATTATCATTCCTATGATAGACAATGTCACTTCTCTGCTCAGCACCCTCCCATGGCTCCCATCTCACGCAGAATAAAAGATAAAGAACTTACAATACCTATGTGGCCGCTGATATGTCTCTGTTTTTACCTCCCATCTACTCCACACTGGTGCCCTTGCTCTTCCTTGAGCATGACCATCATGTGCCCACCTCAGGGCTTTTGCACTGGCTGTTCCCTCTGCCTGGAACTGTCTTCCCCCAGATCCCCACACAGCTCCCTCCCTCACCTCTTTTATGGCTTTGCTCAAATATCACCTTCTCAGAGAGGCCCTCCCTGACCCCTCATTTAAAATTCCAACATAGGAAATTAAAACTTCCCTGTGTGACTTTTTTTTTTTTCTTTTTGCCGTAACACTGATCACCTTCTAAAATACTGTGTATTTTGCTAATTTATTCCTGGACTGTCTGACTCCTCCCACCAAGATGTCAGCTCCAAAGGGAGAGAGGTTTTTGCCTGTCTTGGCCCCCCGCTGTGCTTCTAGTGCCTGGACCAGCAACTGTGCTGGAAGGATGGCTGGATGAATGAATAAATGAATTATAGAAATTTCAAAATTTTATTCCTCTTGTTTTCCTAACACAGTCATTACTTTTAAAAATTGCTCTAGCAGGATCCTAGAAATGTTCTGTTCCCCCCTCTGGGTGCCAGTGACACAGATGTGTTGGGGTGCAACTCAGTGGGGGTACCTGCCAATGTGTACACTTTGCCATCTGCATGCTTTACTATGATCTAGTTTACATTAAAAAAAACAAAGATGGGGTTCCCTGGTGGCGCAGTGGTTGAGAGTCCGCCTGCCGATGCAGGGGACACGGGTTCGTGCCCCGGTCCGGGAAGATCCCACATGCCGCGGAGCGGCTGGGCCCGTGAGCCATGGCCGCTGAGCCTGCGCGTCCGGCGCCTGTGCTCCGCAATGGGAGAGGCCACAACAGTGAGAGGCCCGCGTACCAGAAAAAAAAAAAAAGATGACAACATTGCTTCAGAGATACATTTTTGTTGCACCAAGATTCGAAAATCCAGATGAAGAAGAACCAAGACAAACACTTTTGCTGTGAAGACATACTAACCTTTTCCCATCTTGATGGATATTCAGATTCCAATAGTTTAGATTCTAGAATTCCAGGTTACTAACGGGCTAGTGTTCTAACATTTTGATGCTCTAGAACTTCACTGTCCAATAAGGTAGCCATTAGCCACGTGTAGCTATTTAAATCGATTAAAATTAAATAAGATTGAAAATTCAGTTTCTCAGTCGCACTGGCTGCCATTTTAAATACTCGGCAGCCACATGTGGCTCACAGTTACTGCAGTGGTCAGTAGATACGGAACGTTGTAATATTCTAGAATTCCAAGATGCTAATAAGCTGGGGTTTTAACACTGTAATATTCTAGAATTCCAGGATGCTAAGAAGTTGGGCTTCTAACACTGGAATATTTTAGAATTCCAAGATTCTAATGCGCTGGAGTTCTAACGTTGTTCTATTCTGGTTTCCAAGATGCTCATGGGCTGGGACCGCAGCCCAAGTCCCAGCCCATGAGCATCTTGGAATTCCAAGGATCTAGGATGCAGGATCGAGACGCTAGGATCCTAGCATCTAGGATTCCAAAGGCCTGAGAGTTTTTATCTCTGAGGTTTCATGCCATTTCTCGCCTGTCCAGGTGTCTGGGGTTTGGATGGAGAACTCTTCTCTCGGCTACGAGTATGGGGATTACGGCGAGATTCCAGATCTCCCTGTGGACTGCGTTGATGGCACCTGCGTCTCCATCGAACCCCTCCACGTGGCCCCACTCCTGCTGTATGCCGTCGTCTTCCTGGTGGGGTTGCCAGGCAATGCCATGGTGGCCTGGGCGACCTGGAAAGAGGCCCGCCGGAGGGTCGGTGCCACCTGGTTCCTCCACCTGGCCATGGCGGACCTACTCTGCTGCTTGTCTCTCCCCATCCTAGCGGTGTCCGTCGCCCACGGGGGCCGTTGGCTGTATGGGGCCGTGGGCTGCCGGGCCCTGCCCGCCGTCATCCTGCTGTCCATGTACGCCAGCGTCCTCCTCCTGGCCACTCTAAGCGCTGACCTTTGCCTGCTGGCCTTCGGTCCCAGCTGGTGGGGTGCAGCTGGGAGGGCATGCAGGGTGCAGGTAGCCTGTGGGGCATCCTGGACACTGGCCTTGCTGCTCACTGTGCCCTCAGCCATCTACCGCCGGCTGCGCCAGGAGTATTTCCCACACCGGCTGGAGTGCGTGGTGGACTATGGTGGCTCGACCGTGGCCAAGAACTCAGTGACTGCCACCCGGTTTATTTTCGGCTTCCTGGGGCCGCTGGTGGTCGTGGCCAGCTGCCATGGTGCCCTCCTGTGCTGTGCTACCCGACGCCGCTGGCCACTGGGCATGGCCGTTGTGGTAGGGTTTTTTGTCTGCTGGTCCCCCTACCACACGCTGGGGCTGGTACTCACTTTGGCTGCCCCACACTCCGTGCTCTTGGCCCGGGCCCTGCGGGCTGAACCCTTGGTCGTGGGCCTGGCCCTTGCTCACAGCTGTCTCAATCCCATGCTTTTCCTGTATTTCGGGCGGTCTCAACTCCGAAAGTCTCTGCCAGCTTCATGTCGCTGGGCCCTGAAGGAGTCACAGAGCAATGATGAAAGTGTGGTCAGCAAGAAATCCACTGGCCAAGACCTGGTCTCAGAGGTGGAAGTGTAAGCTAGAGGGAAATTGGTTTGTATCCTCCTCTCCCACTTTACAAGACTGGCTTCGGGCATAGCTGGATCCAGGGGCTTAATGATATTGTCATTTATTCCTTGATTCATTCAACAAATATTCATTATGCCCCCTGCCATGTGCAGTGCAGATATAGGACATTTCCATCATCGCAGGAAATCCTATGGGACAGGGCTGCTCTAGAATCTCACCTGCTCAGATCTTTTAAATCACATAGCAGTGACACCTTCATGTAGAGTCATTACTCCAGGATAGCACTTTACACGTAGTTTCTACTTTAAGGTAATTCTTACAACAACCCAGGCAGGCAGGGGGAGATGCTTCTTTTCATAAGCTGAGGCCCAGGGAGAAGAGGTCATTTGCCCAAGATCACACAGCAAGGAAGTTATAGAGTTGAGATTTGACCCCATGTTTACTTGACTCCAGTGCCCATGCTGTTGATCACCAAACTTTTCCTTCATTGCCTTGTTCAAATAATAGTTCCTCCAGGAAGCTCTCCCTGATTCACTCCCCTCCCAGGGAGGAAGTAGTGTTCTGTTCTCCAAGTTTCTGGAACAAAAATTCCCAGCTAAACTGTAAATTTCCTAAGGACAACATCTGGGCCAGTTTAATTTCTGTCTCTCCTCCACCCATCCCAAGCCTTAAAAAGAGACAAACTATATTTGTCTACACCTTGTTTTTTTCCAACTAGATTGTGAGCTCTCCACTGGTGGGGATCTCGTTCTTTCTTTTTCTGCCCATTTTAATTTTTTAAGTTTTATTTTTTTGTGGGGGGGATCTCTTTCTTGCTATCTTTTTTTTTCTTTATCTGATACAGAGACACTTAGTAGGTCCTCAACAAGACATATTTTATTTTTTGATATTTTATTCAGAACTCTCACGCGGGAATTATTAAGACCAAGACTGCCTTGTAGAATGAATTATGTCCTGTGACAATTTATATAACTTCATGAAAAGTTGGGAGAAATCCTGCTGTTAATCCATTAAGGCCAGGTGCCATTTAGGAGAGTTCTTCCTTGATACATTTACAAAGAGTCTTTTCTGTTTTTTGAAATTTATTTTCCTTTCTTATTGCATCAGCCTTATTTTTTGTTAAGAAGAATCAATTTCATGAAAGCTTTCAGATGTATTTCTGTGGAATTTTCCATGGAACTCCCTTAATCATTCAAAATAATCCTGTGGGCTTCCCTGGTGGCACAGTGGTTAAGAATCCGCCTGCCAGTGCAGGAGACATGGGTTCGAGCCCTGGTCCGGGAAGATCCCACATGCCGCGGAGCAACTAAGCCTGTGTGCCACAACTACTGACCCTGTGCTCTAGAGCCCACAGGCCACAACTACTGAGCCCGTGTGCCACAGCTACTGAAGCCCGTGTGCCTAGAGCCCATGCTCTGCAACAAGAGAAGCCACCGAAATGAGAAGCCTGTGCATCACAGTGAAGAGTAGCCCCCACTCGCCCCAACTAGAGAAAAGCGTGCGTGCAGCCACGAAGACCCAACAAGGCCAAAAATAAATAAATAAATTTATTTAAAAAAAGAAAAATCCTGCTTTTTGTTTGTTGTAACTTCCCCCTTTTGTTCTCAAGTTTGTTCCTTTGTTTTTGTTTATTGTTAGCATGGATATATCGAGTTCCTTAGGTTTCCAAAGAACCAGGTCTTAGTAGTTTTTCCAAGAACTAGTTTCAAGTTTGCTACTCAATCTTAGTGTTGGTAGTTTGTGATTTTCTTCCTGATTTCATATTTGTTTACTTCTTCCCATTTTCCTTTTTTTAAAAAAAATTGTAGTTCTCTTTTGTACATTTTAAGCAGATGTTAGTCAATTTCTTCCTCTTCTTCTTTTGATAATGACACAAGAATTGGCCTACGTTCAAACTGTTTCCCAAGGGTTTGATAGTTAGGTGCAACTTCCCACTTGACATCTCAACTCAATGTACAATAAATAACTCAATATGCTCAAAATGGAACTCTGGATTTTCTCTCTCGGCCATCCTCCTGCATCTTCCCCATCTCAGTTGATGGCAACTCCATATTTCCAGGAGCTCAGGCCAAGAACTTTGGGGTCATCCTTGCCGTCTCTCTCTCACATTCCATGGCCAATCTGGCAGCCAATCCTGCAGATTCTATCTTAAAATATCCATCTTCTCTGCTAACGTCCTGGTCCAGCCACCTATTGCTTCCTCTCTGGTCCCCTTTTCTCATCTTGATTCCCTATAGTCTGTTCCCCACATGGGAGCCAGAGGATTCTGTTAAAATCTAAGTCACATGGAACTCTGCCCATGGAGCCCATCTCACCCAGATTGGAAGCCAAAGTCCTCACTTTGGTGTGTACGATCTATCCTCTTCCTCTCTCCCTACTATTCCCCGATCCTTCATCCAGTCACACAAACCTGCTTGCTGGCCCTTGAACCCTCCAAGTTTGTGGTCATCTCAGTCTTGGCCTCTGGGGCTTCCTCTACCTAGAATGTCCCCGCCCAGGGATCCCCATGGCTTGCAGCCCCACTATTTTCAGCTCTCTGCTCAAATGCTACTTTCTGGGAGATGTCTTCTCTGACTGTCATTGGGCCAAAGAGCATCACTCCTTGCCCCTTCCCTGCTTTGTTTTTCTCCACAGAGTATGCAGTTCTTCTTGACAGTCTATTTTAATCTATGTGTCTGTCTCGCCCACCAAACTATGAGCTCCTTTGTTTTGTTCATTTCTGTATCCTCAGTGCCTAGAACTGATTCCAGAAATGAAGGCTGTACCTCCTTAACTGCAAAGGTATCCAAAGGTACGAGGAGAATGACAGGAAGGATATAAAAATAAAAATGAAAGATCTAACATTTATGAAGCGCCTATATGTACAGTAGTGAAAAAAGTTTATGTACCTTATGTATACTTTTGCATTTATTTTTCCCAACAACCTTGAAAAGTAGGTATTATCCTCGTGTTATAAATAGGGAAACAGGCTCAGGGCTGCAATGACTGGCCCATGTAGGACTAAAGAGGACTGACTTTTCTCGTTCATTTAGTCATTCATTCAACAGACACTTAACGACTATCTAATCCCTGTGGTCGTCGCTGGAAAACATAGGACGTCTAAGACAGAAAGCTGGGAAGTTGAGTTGTATTATTCATTAGTGAGTTGATAGGGTGAATTATACATTGATAGAATTATGTATTAATAATTATGAATCATAATAAATAAATAACGGGGCTGTTTTAATAGTGTCTGGGCTCCGGCCAGCTTCCTAGTTCGGCTAAAACCCCAGCGTCCGGGCGATCCCCAGATGCAAGTTCTAGCGCAACGTAGAGCAAGTCTCCACCGTCACGCCCCCACCGAACCCCTAGAGGGCGCAGCGTCACCCGAGGCTCCGCCCTAAGTGAGGCGGGGCCTGAGCGTGCTGTACGCAGGCGCAGAGTGAGTCTTGGGCGCTCGCAGCTGCTCACTGGTTCGAGTCTGCAGTGGGGCGGGGCTGGGCTGTGAGGATGGCGTGCGCAGGCGCAGGACCGGTTTCGGGAGCGTGAGGGCCCCTGCGGACCGGAAGTTGAGGCGTTCGCGGCGGTGAACGAGGTGAGGGGGCGGGGCGGCTGCGCAGGGTGGTGGCGGCGGCGGCCGGAGTCCGATCGGGTCCGGGAACATCTTGGGAGCGAGCTGAGGGGGGAGGGAAATCCCGAGATGAGGCAGTGTGTTGGAGGAGGCCGAGCAGCCGGGAGACACAGACCGAGGTGGAGCCTGAGCGTTCCTGAGAGAACCTGAGGATCAGAGAGCCTGAAAGAAATGGAGGCACGGAAAGAAGCTTCGAGAAACTGAGGGACCGAGAGACAGGGAGGTTGAGAGAGGAGGGAAGCCGAAAACTGGAGAGATCGAGGGCAAGAGGCTGATGGGTCCTACCGAGAGAGGCTTAGAGGGAGTACGAGAGAAATGCGATCGCACCGGGAACTTGGGAAATGGAGGGAAACGTAGAAAGATGAGAGTGGAAACTAAGGTTGCGAGAAAAGTGTGTATATGTGTGTATGATGTATATGTATGCATATAAATATATATGAGTGATTTAGAATAGTACCTGATACATGCGTCAGCCCTAAGTAAATGTTAGCTATTGTTAAAGCTTCAGACAACTGAGCGACAAAATTTTAGGGAGAAATGGAGAGAGATGAGAGAGTCACGATGGAGGAAGAGAGTGATGGAGAGAGACGAAAACGGAGAGTCGGAAAAAAAAATTCAAACAGAAAATGAGACAGTCAGATGGAAAACTGAAGTAGAGTGGCGTCGAATGGAGAAAGACAGCTGGAGAGAAAATCAGACTAAAGAACAGAATCCGAATGGGAGAGCATTAGATAAATGAAAAGAGATGGGACCAGGCAAGGAAAGGGAAGAGAGATGAGGGTGGTGAGCAGGATGGACCAAAAAAGACAAGAGACCTGAAGATGGAGAGCCAGACAGGAGAGAAATAGGGAAGCGGAGAAACCCTCTAAAAGCCTTAAGCCTAGGAAATACAGGCCAAGAGACCAAGAGATGGTCCGAGACACAGTTACAGAGAAACTAGTAGATCCAGGAAGTCGAAAAGGTAGTCTTAAGAGAATGGATTCCTTGAGAGTCATGAGGATGCTCTCATTCCGGCCCACATGCAAGGACAGGCAGTTAGCAGTCTGGGAGGAATGCTCTCCTCCATCTAATTGTCCTTGTCTTCTTCTGAGAAACACTGGCTCAGCATCACAGCAGTCTTTCAAGGCCTTTTCCTTCCCTTCTAGAACAGGAGTTCCCTCTGAAGGTGCCGTGGCATCACGCAGCCCAGGTGTTTACCAGGAAGTGATGTGCACTCCCCACACATGGCTACTGCTCCTGTGGGAAACAGCTCTGCCAGTTCGCAAGTTCTTCAGCTGAAACCCTCACCTGGCTCTAATAACTCCCAGGGTTGGCCTGGGTCCCTCTGAGGCTACAGAGATGGAAGCGCTGAACTCTTCTGTGGTGGCCCTCAGAGATTGAAGGCAGAGTAGGTGAAAGCATTGCTAATGAACCAAGGTGAATTGTGGCCATTTGAGTGTAATTTTTTTCCAGGTTATATGCCCGTGGTTTCTCTCACTGGACTTGAATATCAGTTACCCATTTAGCTTCTCTGTGCCAGGCTAGGTGATAAACGTTGCAATGTTTTGAGATGGGTATTGTCCCCATTTTATAGATGAAGAAAACCTCAAAGGGTTTAATTTGCCAGTGGTCACACATCTGATAAAGCTGCGATTCAAACCCAGATCTGTTTGACCATGAAGTCTTTACCGTGGAAGTCTCGGGACCCTTTTAAGATCATAAACTCTTTGAAGAATCTGGGTGATGGGCTTCCCTCCGGAAAATTGCACATACGCGGGGATGTGCTTTGTTAGTTAGGACTTACGCAGCTAAGAGTCAGAAACCAAACCTTAAGAAAAAGACATTTTCTTGTGTAGCCGTGAAGTGGAGGGTTGGCGGGAACTAAGCCTCAGGCATTGAATGATGTTGCCAAGCTTCTCCCCGTCCCTCTTCCACTTCTCTCCTTGTAGTTGCTCGGTGACCATCCTTGTGTGTGCCTCGCTGTGCCCACGTGCAGCCTTTTCTGTAGGATAGATTTCTAGGAAAGACTATTTAAGAGCTACTACAAACAACTCCCTGTTTATATTGTCCTTGCTTAGCCACAGTAAATAAGCTTTTGTCTCCTAATAACATAGTGTAAATTCCAGGGAAAGGCCCTGATTGGCCCTCCTCGGGCCAATGTGTCCGCTCTTCAGACCAGTCACTGGTTAAAGGGGGAGTAGGGTACTGTGATTGGCCAGGCCTTTGTCACTTGCCCAACCAGTAGGAAATCTCTTCACTTAAAGGCAGTGGGAACCATGTGGATTCCGGGAAGGGCTGCTCTCCAAAGGAAAGTGCATTCGTTTTTCTGAAAAAAAAAAAAAAAAGAAAAAGAAGTGCCGGGCAGGCAAAAACAAAACATACATAATGCAACACTTGCAAAACTGTGCACTTGATTTCAAAGGGTTCCCAGGAGCCCTGAAACTCAGTGGACCACAACTCTCTCATGTTATCACCTCTCAGGACCACGTTCTGCTGTTGACTGGCCACATGACCTACATTCCTTCAGGTCAAACATTCCCTCCTCCGGGGATCCTTCCCTGACTCCCAAGCACAGTCAAGGAAGGCTCCCGCAACCCCCTGGGCTCCCTTTATCACAGCCTCCATCTCGGGATTGTCAGAGTCTGGCGAAATGACCACCTGTGGGTACTCAGCGTGGTCCTATTCATTGCTGTCCCTCCCCCCAGTCCAGTGC